GATGGAGGCCGTGGTTTAGTGCCTCTAATACGCTACCGAGTGCAGCTTATATTTTTTAAGTAATTTTGAAATAACGCAATGCTAAATAGAAATTCAGCTATTATATTCGTATTGAACACTTTCTGATTTGCATTTCCTTATCGCATTTCAAGTTTGCTACTTTTTATGGTTATCGCCTAAAACGCACAAGCTCATATAGGCGCCACTCAATCATGCGGAGCTACCAAATTTTATAATGACTACAAACATATATTCGCAAAAAGTGTAAAAAGAAGCCGCCTATCATTACGCTATTTTGAAGTATTTAAACAACATGCCTGCTCGAGTGGGAAGAAAAATCAGTGAAGTGTAGATGCGAGCTGAATTGTGTATTCTGAGCTGTGAATGAGAAATAATAGAAACTGGATAACGTCAAGGTAGAACTGTAATGGGAAATCTGGACTTATAAATATTTGCATGGGTGATTCAAGAGTCGTGCTGCACACTAACACAAATATATTTCTGTAATGTTTCGTCTGGCGTTGGACAGAATAGTGTTAGTGTGCAGCAAAACTGTTGAATCTCTTAGGATAGTTATTTTTACTCTTGCTACAGCATCCTTGAATTATATGCATACGAATCCGCCGGCACAAAAGAATAGAAGAAGGATAAGTAGTCTCGCAGAAACCAAATGAATAGTCTAATTATTTGTAAGCCTTTCGAAGCCAATACAGTTGAAAGACCTGGTTTTATGTGACAGAATTGGCTGCAGCGTTATTTTTCGAAAGAAGATTTACCCTATCTTATTTTCGGCGAAACACGGTGACAAATAATACGACGCCAGATTTTTTAGTGGTGTTTTTCTAACGTTAATTACCGTACCAGCTCCGGTAATGTATACTTTCACGGGGTGAAACAAAATACAACACGGCTCATTAAAATTAATTGCTTTGTAACTAAACTATTTTGTTTCGCGTCATTCGAGGCTGTGAATTATCAATAAAATGTTAACACCAAACAAAAAGACTTTTTCTTTTACGTGTTTGTTATAGTTTAATTGACCCAAAATAAGGAAAATTGAAATAAAATTATGGCCTAACCCCAACCTGGTACACATACTACGTTCCGGTGTCCGCCATCTTGGTTCACATACTTCGGAAGTACCGAATTGGCTGCGAATTAAATTAAACTTTTCCCTTAATTATGACTTTTATGTTTATGTTGCTGCCTGTACGGGACCTAGTTCGGAGCACATGTAATTGAATGAATTTTAAATCTGTTCACATAGAAGATAATCTAAATAAATGCGGAACAAAATTTTAAGTTTTGTTTTTCCTCCGAGATCTAATAATTGTTCCTATCATTTAAAATACTGTTGGTATCAAATATTCGTGTGTTAATGATATTTCAATAATGAAAAAGGGAGAATATAACGAAGTCAAAGGCACTAGCAAAATGTCAGTCCACTGCAGGAATATGTTGCTCTCAGTGCCAACTACCGTGTTCCCACGAAAATGAGACCTAGCCTGAATTTGAATATAAGCCCTCCGCTTAATTAAAATAAGACATAGTCGATAGCGCAATTTTTTTTTGACCTAGTCCTATAGCAAGTCTACTGATGATGATAATATTATGGAAGATGAAGATATGGTCATTTTTGAATAATCTATGTTTAGTATTTTTTTTTAATAAGGACGTTTTATTCATAAGTAAATAGATGTTCGTTTTCATATTTTGTGTATTTGAAAATCTCGTAATTCTCTGCTTTGTAGTTTTGTTTTTGATAAATGAAAAAAAAAATTCCCAAAAATGAGTCTTAGTTTTATTTTTTGAAAGAAGGATGTATTAAGAACCTGTCTTATTTTTGGTGAAACATGGCAGCACGGTCACAATTTTTATGACACCCTAGTTTTTCGTGCTGTTTGCCGCATCAGCGCCTGTAATGTATACTTTCACGGGATAGAACAGAATACAACACGGCTCATTAAAATTAATTGCTTTATAACTAAACTATTTTGTTTCGCGTCATTCAAAGCTGTAAATTATCAATAAAATGTTATCACCAAACAAAAAGACTTTCGCTTTTACGTGTTTGTTATTGTCTAATTGACATCATATCCACGCCGAAAAAAAATTTGTTTCAGTTTTAAGGTTGTTCCACATAGCAAACTTTGGCAATGTGATGTTATCTTTTAATATATATAAGAATAACTTTTATGGAGATCTCTGAAGACATATGTTATATTACATTTATAGATGCTCAAAACGTTTCCGTGCACTTCAGAGCAGTGTCTTAACCAAGAAGTTCAAGATTGCATAGCGTTTAGAAGAGTTAACTTGTGGGATATCGTTCCAAGCTCGTTTTCAAATCATCATTTGTAATAATTTTTAGCTGTTCGACAAATTTTATGTTTTTTTCACGCCGTTTAGTGCATATAGCCATAGGCAGCGGCGTGATTCAGGGGCGATCCCGTTCTTGAAATGTTGCCATAATCCACTAACCTGTTCTTGTTTTTACACGTACACACTCGGCGACGAAGCAAATGGGTAACGTGCACCACAGCTGACGACTAGCCGTATATTTTGCATTTCGAAAGTTATGTATGTAGGCTATATATTAGAATTATGTAAACATGTCATGATAATGTAGCTCTTACGTAATCGCATACATATATACATTTTTTGAAATGAGCAAACGAGTTCTATACAAAAAGAAAGTATGTTGTTATAATCTTGAATCCCATCACTGGACATAAGATTTTTATATTTAATGCCCGGAAAAAATGTCTCAATCTCGTACAGAATACTGCGCCTTTCCTAGGGATAAAGTAGCATTTTATATATACGATAGGTAAAGTTAGTTGATTAACGGGTCGCAGGTATTCTACAAGACTTACTATATAACTTTACCAATAGTCAGTCTGATTTTATATCACACATATATATATATATATGTTTTGTTATCAATTAGGTATTCGGCACCGACTGATTTATATTTTGAGTTATGTGGACTTGAGATAGGATTTTTCTTTTATCTCAAGGAAAAGTAAGCCCGACCTGTCGCCTAAATATAAAGTGGGCAACGACTTTTAGTTTAGACCAGCAATCAACCTTGGTTGTGAGAATAACTCGTTTCACATGCATGGACTTCGATGGTACGGTATAGGAAGCCGTACTACAGTACCATACTAAATACTATGCTTCGTGTTTCGAGACAATGCTACTCGGTCGATTTCGATACCTAAAGTTCGATGCACCAATGTTCTATCTATAAGCAGATGTAGCCTATATTGAGCCTACATTTTTAAAGTTAATTCTGTTTGGAACATGCTCGTTAAATGCGAATGGATATAGCTGTTTGAGACGGGTTTTTGACAATTTAGGGAAATCAATATGCGTGAATTATTCAGTTTACCGTGATTTCTACGCATATCTTTTCTTTAATCTTGAAATTACTGAATTAATCCTAGAATTTATCACTGACATTTCTCAGAACGAAGTATCGAAAAGTATGAAGCAGTGCGGGTACGACAAAAAAAACTTCTTGCATTTCGAAATATTTTTGCAGGTTGGCAAAATACTACATCGTTTTTTTATTATCTCAGATCGAATACAAAAAACAAACGCATAATGAACCAGATTATGTTTTAATTTTCGCAAATTGAATTATGAATTTTTTACAAAAAAATTCCACTCGTTTTACCACTAATGGTTTACTGTGTAAACATCTATTAAAAATTAATAGAACCTAATAGAATTATCATATATACATAAGGAAGATATATTTATTTTCTAATTTTCATGTATGTCCGTGCTTAATGTTTCAACTCTATTGGCTTTAATAATTTAGTTTCTAAATCCCAAAAGTTTAAACCAGCGCTCAGTTTATTGATTGCATCGGGTGTACTGTAGATGAGTATCTTTCTAGCATTAATTATGTCTGTTTATGGCGCATACCCGTTGAAAGGACGAATTTCGTTTACATACCGGTCTTCTTCTCTAGTACTTTTCTTATATATGCTCATCTACTTATAAAGCTCTCTAAACAATCACATAGACTTGAAGAGCTACAATGTTTGGATTAATACAGTTAGTATAACTAACGCATTACCCCTTTGGTCAGCGTACCCGCTGTCGTGCTGTTGAATGGATATCATCGAAGATCATAAATAATATTGAGTATCTGTTGAAATATAATTTTATTACAAATAGCTCAAATCGAATCATTCAAAAAAGAAAGTCTCATTCCAAGAAGCCTCACTGGTTCTGCTCCTCTAATAGTGACTCCGAGTAGGTTCGTATCAGAGTTTTCAAATGGTGGTGAGAGGTCTAAAATTTCTAATTGTCAAGTTAGATCTAACAGTTTGCGGGTCCGGAGTTCAAGAGTCTTAAAGATATAACAGCGTTTCTAGCTACAAAAAATTGCTATGTTTGATACAGAAAAATGGGTGCTCCCGAAGTATGCGAACCAAGATGGCGGACATCGGAACGTAACATGGGTAACAGGTTAGGGTTAGGCGATAATTTTTTTCCAATTTTCCTTATTTTAGTCATATTATCAGTTCGAAGACTAGCCAAGAGCCCTTCCGTAGTATTTATACCTAAAATTATGGCCTAACCCTAACCTAGTACACATATTACATTCCGATGTCCGCCATCTTGGTTCGCATACTTCGGGAGCCCCGAAAAATGTCTTTTAACATTTCTAAAGGGGAATTCCGCCCCGCAGCTGCACTCCCCCTCATACCCCCTACCTGGGTACACTCCTGAATCCGAGTCATTCAAATGGAATTACTCGGACTCGTCATCAACTAACCGCCAGTGAGACCTAACTCGACTTGAGTGTCTCGTGACTCGGCTAGAGACTCCTTTCTACCTTACCCTGGTATCGAAATCGAATGATTCAATATGTGAATTTAGTGGCACAGATTTATATGTCTGATGAGACTGAGGGTTCAGAAATATAAAAGTAAGCTATATTTTTTACAAATTTTTGTTAAATATAGTGACATTCCATTTTCGCAGGATTTTATTTTATCAGTAAATAAACTAGCAAAGCAAAATGTTGAAACAAATAATCAAAGACATGCACGTTGATCCCGAGATATTGGCGGAATTACCGGAAGAACAAAAACAAATTTTATTTTTCAAAATCAGAGAGGAACAGGTTAGTAAAAGTTTTATTTTTTATAGTTTGCTTGGAACAAGGCCATGGGCAATCTCATGCTAGAAAAGTGTGAGTCTGCCGTTCAATTTATAAATATTTCACTCAAAAGATGCGGTATATGGGCTTTTTGAGATTTACCTAATCTTAAACCTAATTCTGAGGTTTCAGATAAAAATAGTTCAAGGAATTTGTTGTGATTGCGATTAAATTTAGTTTTGGCATGAGGCCTATTGTTTTCCACGAGGTTTTTCGTTACACTCACATGGCCCGCCAGTCTATGTGGGCAACATTTTTGGCCCTGTGTCTAAATACCTTGCCCTCCCCTGTCTAACCACAACGTTTTCTCGCCTCCTTGAACATAATCTTTTACGTTTTAATGTTCTATGCTGAATGCTCATGAACTCATTGTCACGGATTAAATACACAGTTCATCCTAATTAAATTATTTATCAAAGCTTACATTATATGTGTCTTACAGAAACGGCGATATTATGAAAGTGAAAAACAGTTTGAAAAGAAGATGGCGAAGAAATCGAATCAAAGTGAAAGTAGGCAATGGCTATTTTGTACTTATTCTGTGGTACTCTAATTCTCAGTGAAACGGTTATTTGACAGGAAGTGTAAAAATGTATCTTTTGCGAAAATGCTGTTTGGGCAAATCAATTTCAAATCTTAATAATTAAAGATCGAGGTAAGTCGCTAGAAGGAACTTTCTTCGAATTGTTCAAAATTCCTCTCTTGGGACCCGATATTTCACCAAAAACTTTGTTATGTTTTCAACTGTAGGTAAAAGCCATTTTCTCAGCATTGCTTATCCGCGGATCTTCTTAGAAAAATTCGGTACTCTCGGGCTTACCGTACAACCGTACCGGTACCGATGGGCAATCTTCGTGTCCATATATTTGAGTATTGCTATATTATTCCACAATAATATTTTAGCTGATGTCCATCCTCTTACATTTTAGTTAAATTTGTGATTCTTTGTTCAAACTATTATTGCACATATTCGCCGCGATGTTTACTCCCAAATTCTCACAAAACCACGTTGTCCAAGTAAATTTAAAAAATAGTAAAGTAAATGAAGTTTTATTTGATCCACATCTTTCTTTGTGTGCGGTTTTAAAATTAAATAGTTTCTTTGTAGATGAGCTAAAGTTTTTTGTTACATCATGGTAGAAAGCCATATAAATGAGGTCGAAAATACTAAAGTGGGAGCTGCCTATATACGTGAATATTTTTATTATTATACTCTGCAGCCAAATTCACCAATATTTTAATTTACGTGTGCCCTATATTGTTGAAGACTAAGTTATTGTATCTTAAAGTGTTCAGCCCCAGGACTCCGTGATAGAAAACCTAGGGGCTACGCGATCAATTCAAATATCAACTTGGTTAATTTTGTAACTGTTCAAAGATGCAAATAAAAGTATTAACAAAATTCGAAATCGAGGCTGTAATTCAAATATCACATTGTCTAAAAATCCCAATAGATATTTTTATTTTCATAAATTTATTGTGGGGCTCCTTCAATAATAGTCAACCTCCTAACGAACTTTATAACACCAAAAGTTGAGAGCCCCCTGGTTTAATTCAGTAATAACCGTGTAATTTCGTCATTATTTTTGAAAATAAATTTCTGAAAGTAAAGATTATATGGGCCTCCTGAAGTATGCGCACCAAGATGGCGCACAACCTTGACTCAGGTTGTGTACCAGGTTAGGGTTCAGGTTATGCGACATCTTGGTGCGCATACTTCAGGAGTACCGATTATATTATCTTCAACATTAAATATTAAAAAGCCGAATCGAAAGAGGTTTGTAAAAGAACCACTTACGACTAGACAGCGGGGGTTTTATATCTAAAGTTGACGTTTGATATACAAAATTGAGTTGTATATTAACCAAACATAGACTGATATACCACCCACCCAATTCAATTATGGGATAAACAGTATTATTATAAGCAAACACCGATATTATATGATAATATTGACTTTATTACGAAATTTCGATTCAGCATGGATAGATAGAAAAAAGATAGAAACTTAAATGATGTTTTTTTGATCGTTGTTTACATAAGCTAACGTTTACGAATGAATCTCTAGTGCAGTGGTTCCCGACCTTTTATGACTCGCAGAACTATTTTTACAGTTCCTTCCACAAAACAACTCCCCGTTTTTCTAATTTCATTGCTTGATAAAGTTTTTTCAAAGAGTGTTTCACTTTGCGTACCATGAATGGTTTAAACGTAATGAGACTTGTAATCAACCAATCGAAACAACACTCTAAATACTACAGGAATAATAATAAGGGGGACACGAGTAAGGGGGGCTGATACCTTCCGGAAGGAGGCCCATGAGCCATGAAAGGCTGAGAACCACAGCTTATATTATTGTGTATTGATACCTAAATATTTCAGAATCTGCTAAAATTCGTATCTTGGAAGACAGCAATGGCCAGCCTTGGACATGGGTAATGGGGGAACATCCTAACGATGTAACTGTTGAAGAAATATGGGCAAATATAGGGTATGTATATCTTGTATGTTTTTATAATAAGTTTAGTACCGTGGTTCTATCTTTCATGAGCCGTTGCCAACTTTCAAAGACTTTCAGCACACTGCGGTCTCCTGCTCTTCGATTAAATGTTTTGTTTTGTTTTTAACAAGTTTCCAAAACATATAGCTAAAAAATAAAGCTATACAAATTGTTACCTTTTATCCTATTTTATGTGACACTTATTTTACGTCTTTCTCTCTGAACAAGGCTCCGTACAAGTACAAGAAACGAAATCATTCGGTCTGGTATAGCCTACCTAATTTATTGCACCCTGCGGAGTGAGGTAGCTGGTATCGGATTTGAATTCGAGATGTGTATTCTATGGTGACAACACAGTTAAATATTGAATTACCCAACGAGCTGGATTTGGCCCACGTTCCGTAGTTTTTCCATGTCAGGTATATAATGTTTGCTGAAGTAAAACGGTGTTTTGATGCGCCAAATAAACGTCGAATACTTTTCGTCTCTTGAGCGGTTCAGATATCTAGCTTCAAATTTTTGCAAATTTTGTCCTATGAAAATATTTGTTCCATTTGCTCATGGACCACAGAGAACCGCTCCGTGCTCTTCTTTGGGAGTCGAACAACCAATCTGAGAAATCGTAATTTAGTGTTTGATAAAGTAGGATAGTTTTATTGATGTGGTTTTCAAAATAATCGTCAAATATTCCGTCTCTTGAAGGGTTCGAAATCTGAATATCTGGCATAACACTTACGCAAATTTTATTCTGTAACAATTCGTCTGGCCACAGCCAGACTTCCTCAGACAAGCAGTTTACAACGAAACCTATAAATCTTTTTTATAGCCATTTTAATTCTTGTTTTGTAACCCTGTAGTTAGTACATACGGATCAACTCACACAAAGACAAATAGACATAACAGTAATTAGTCAATAAATAACTTTGATGATTTATGCGCATATAACACGTTATGTCAGTTAATTACCTTACATGGCTTTGCTATAAAACTAACATTTTTATTTTATTTTGATCGATGATGGCATATGACTGTGACTCATATAAGAGTACTTACTTTTTAATCTAATGAGAAATTGTCATAATTAAATTTGAAATTACTCACACAATTTAACGCAGTGTATTATTGATATTTGCCCAAAGGACAAATGCAGCCAGTTTTTCAGCAACGCTTAATAACAACACAGCGTCCGAGTTTGAGTGAGCGTGATATACATATATACACAGAAATATACATATTTAGCTAACTCATATGAATATACAGCCAATTTGATATATATATATATATAGTATACAGTCTTTGAGTCAACTTAATATGCAGAGTCTACATATAAAGAGGTGGCTGTATATATTTGTGTCATTGGATGGCGGTGCATATTTTGTTTACTATATATTTATGTTGATTGGCTGTAAATTTGGCTGTATGTGTATATCACGTTACCTCATCACAATTTGACATAGCGTATGATTAACGTTATGCAACTGATCACAGTTGACAAATACGGCCGCTCTGTCCACAGCAGTTAATTTGGAATTAAGTGGGTTTAGTAAAGTGAAAATACATAAACAGCCAAAAATATGCATATACAGCCCGCATGCATATACTTTCTTTAGGATATTCATACATAGCCATTGAAATACACATATACAACCCACTCAATATGCATATACAGCCATTCAAGTGTTAATAGTGTATATGTATATTATGTTGGTCGTATATGTATATACTGGCTGTATTTGCATGGTCATTAGCATTGTGGCCCCCTCAAACTGATCCTCTGGCCCTCTATGGGATTCACGGTCCCCCAGTTCTCAACTACCAATGTTATACATATTCATTTGCTTGTATATGCATGTTAATTGATTGCATATTATTCATTTTGGCTTTATGTGTCCATACCGCGATTGTTCACTGTTTAATTTTTTAGTACGATTCAGAACATAAGGTGCATGAATTGTCCAAGTTCATCATTTTTTAACTTTTTCAAATCTATTTACAGAAATAAAAACTGGGTTCCATCAACACGTAAAGAAAACCAAGCACCTGTTTCGAAAGTACAAGCAATCATATTCGCCAAGAACAAACACAGTCAAAATTTTGCAACTTCGGATAAAAAAGCTCCTGAAATCCATAAAAATGATATTGACGGAAAAAGTATTCAACCTGAGAATACAAACAATAATATTCCGAAACCAATAAGACCGGTAAAACCGAAACGAACAATACCCGACTCCGCTAAGGTACCTGCAAAGCCTCCAGTATCAGCGGTAAAACCACAGCCAATAACGCCACCACAAGCAACTTCAAGGCCAACGGCAATACCTCGTGCAAATCAGGTAATAACTTCAAGTATAGAGAAGTTTATTTACCGGAAAGGTTTATTTACCACGCCCCAAGCTTTTTTTAATAGTATAAGCAATGCTCAAATATATGGACACGAAAGCCCAATGACCAAACGCTTGGCTGGTAGACTATATGCGACTTACATTGTAATCCGTTATCTGATCATTCAGAAGCTTTTAATAAAAATTGACAATCGATTCCAACCGCCGCGTCGGTATCGGTAAGATCGCAAAGGTAAGTATTGGTATCGAGATGGCCTTGTGGTACCGAAATATCTTACTGAAAAGACTGGTGGACAAGCGTTACATATGCTGCCAGGCACGATGAAATAAAAAGCGTTCCCCTTAACATCGCGCTCAATTATTATAAAACAATGTACATTCAACAGGCTCCGAAGCAAACATCATTTAGTTCTTCACCTCAACAACTCAAACCTACGACATCTTCAAGTCCATCAGCCCATAGAACGTCTCCAACTGCCTCGCCTTCTTCTGCCAGAAAACCGACGCCAGGTCAGAAACCAGTGGTATTGTCGAAGCCTATGAAAAAAACTCCGGTTGCAAAAGATTCTGATTCAGACGAAGACGATTATGAAAGTAAGAGAAAATGTTATACCACCTTGTTTGTGCCATTGTGGAATGTGATTTACGTACTCCTGAAGTGTGTGTACCAGGTTGGGGTTGGGGCATAATCTTATTCCGATTTTTCTTATTTAAGTTACGAGTTCGGGGACTGTCTGCGTTAGACAATTGAATATACCCCCTTTCCATAGGTTTCAGTCCCTTTACACAACTTGATGTAAAGTAGGCGAACAAAATTAGTTACACACACTTCTAGAGCGCCGTGATTTATATGTTTCTGGTGGGGTGTATCAGTAATGTCATGTCCCACGTTTGTTACAGATTCGTTCCACTTGTGCTGTTCTTGTACCACACATGTCCCAACTTTATGAACTTCGTACGTTTTTTGCTTACTATAACCTTCTCCCCAAGATATTATCTATCTGAATCCAAAATTTTATGAATCTCACTTATATATGTAGCCGAAATATGTAGCTATATAACACTATAACAGTGGTTTGGTTTGGGACAGGTGGAACGAGCAAGAGGCAAGTGTAGGGCACGATATTTTGAGACACCGCTTGTGATCTACATTCAGCATAGGTTACAAGACATTTGATAGATAAAAAATATTTTATTTTTATGTAATATTCCTAGAAAATGTGAAATTGTAACGCATTTCGGAACGGAAAAAGAAATTCGAATGAAACCTGTAAAACTTTCTAATTCTGATATTATGAACCTGAAAAAATGGTCGAAGCAAATAAGTACATTGCCAGTTCTTTATCACCATTGCTTGAATTCCTCAAACCTATTTTTAAATTCAAGACATGGCTGAACTGGCGGATACTTTACCAAAGCAAGAACTTGGTGACAAAGAATGGGAGACGCAGTGTAAGTTTCGTTCTCGTGTATTACATTTTTGTCTCACATAGTACAAAATGCGAAATGTTATAAATCGTACCGAATACCCGCTATTATGGTCCAGTTAAAAATCCATTAGTATTATCAAACACATAAGAATATTTACTTGTTGAAGGCACTAAAATATAGATGATCATAGTCTGGAAAAATTCTGAAAAACAAACCGATACAACGAAATATATAAAATACGTTTCTTTTTGAAATAAACTTTCAAAACTATTGTTTACCTCATAGAAGCTTTAACCAGAGTAGGAATTTATCCTCACATCAACCCATTTTTAATTTTTCAGTTTAAGTAGTTTCTAATGTTTGCACAAATAAGTTTTATATTAATATTAAAGAACTAAAGAATACGAAACAAAATTTCCCACAAGAACGGCAAAATTCGCCTCCAATTGAAAACGTGGCTCTGTTCTAGATGTTTACATATTTAGATTTTTACTTGTCGAATAATTGTAATTGTAAAGTCTAACAAAAACCTAATATTCCACAGTGCAACGCTTCAAAGCTGCTGACAAACGAAGATCCATGAATGCTCGACGTGCAAGTATGCAAATAAAACGGCTTTCTCAACAGAATATTGTACAAGAACGAAAACTAGAAGACGTAAAGAAACGATTTGAAAGGCGAAGAAGTCAACGAGAAATGAAACCTAATTCACGACGGCCTGCTTTGCCTCCGAAGCCAACGGATATAAGGCCAAAACACCCAGCACCAAAGTAAATATGTTACATTTTTCTGCATTTCAACGTTATTATAGTTGTACTGGATTCGATTACAAAGTGATACCTACATAGTCAATATAGTATATATCGTACTTGGAGTAGCCACGAAGATGAAGGCCCTTGGTTTTTCGAAAACCTGCGATTTAAGCCCAAAATATCCAGCGTCAAAGTATATATGTTCGATTTTCCTACAATTTAATATTATTAGGAATGTCCTTACTTACGGTGTTATATGTGGGTAGGCTACATAACGTACTGGAAGAGTCCAGGCGAAGGCCTACATTAGTGATTCAGAGTTGAAACACTTAGCTTCAAAGTATATATATACCCAGTAGTGGGATTCAGCCGGTTCGCACCGGTTCTATAGAACCGTCTCACGGAATTTTATTAGATCAGCGCACCGGTTAGCATTACTGGTTACTGTCAATGTTCTGTTTGTAACAGAACCGGCTGAAAAATATGACTTTTGTGAAGGAACCGACTGACAAAAAATTTGAATCCCATCGCTGTGTATACCTATTTAGTTTCATATTATAGATGCGCGTTCTCATCGTGTAATATGTGAGTAGCCTATATAACTTACTATAAGCATGGCTTTTATTACCTCGGAAACCAAGGGATTTAAAGCCAAACCACGTCAGCACCAAAGTATATGCTTGCCTTCATTAATGTAGTGAGGAGGATATGTCTTTTCAAGAATATAGTAACTTCATTTATATCATTGGCTGCTGGTCTGTATCCTTGTTTGGAGGAATAGTGTATATCTCATTTCAAAAGCCTTTCAGATTTTAACTACTACGTTGGAATACCAGTGATTCTATTCCACGGTTGATGCTAGCATCAGTTGTTTAATATTGACATAAATAAGTGAGTACTCGTGTTCACATGCCTAAAACAAGCATAGGGGCTTTCGATGGTTCTTGGATAACTTTACGGCGTTCCAGAAGTGTGTGTATCAATATGGATGTAACTAATTTTGTCCGTCTTTTTTACATCATGTTGTGTAAAGGGACGGAAGCCTATCGACAGCGGGTATATTCACTTGGTTAACACAGACAGTCCCCGAACTTGTAATAGAACTAAAATAGGGAAAATTGGAATAAAGTTATGGTCTAACCTCAACCTGGTACACATACTACGAGAGTACCAATTTTACTGTAATGCTGAAATGAGTTGAAAATTCATCTAAAATATAAACTTACACAGAGTAAACTTACACACTGGCTTCATAAAAAATGGAATAAAAAAATTGATCTTTTGTGTACTCAATAGAACTTTTAGTAATCCATGACGCTTTGCACGGAGGTTATGTTGTTTCTAGAAGATGTTCCATATTAAACATCTGTTTGTGTATGATTCTATACCCAAACGGTTCAGTAATCTAAGAAGCTTTGTACAAAAGTTATGTTCTGTGATTAATATGTTCCAAATTGAACTTCTGTTTTTGTGTGACTGTACCCGAAAGTTTTAGTATTCTGAGATGATTTGAACGAAAGTTATGTTCTTTTTAGATTCTAGAATATGTTACAAATTGAACTTCTGTTCGTGTATGACTTTACCCAAAGGTTTTAGTAATCTAGGACGCACGAAAGTTATGTTCTCTCTGGAATATGTTCCATATCCCTGGGTTCTGTTTTGTCTTCGAGTATAAAAAATTCAGCATATTTAGGAACTGTTTTCAATTATAATTTGCAGGTCTGGTAGAGCTCGTCGACCGACTAATCGCTCAGAAGTGGAAGAATGGTTTAAAGAAACGCAAACTGCAGAAATACTGGCTTCTGTTGACGATAATAATGCGATGCCAACGTGGTTCCATGGTGAGTTGTTCGAGTAGAACGTCTCAGATCGATTACTTTGGTTTTTATTTAGTTATACAGCATTACTTCACTCAATGTATGCATGTTGATTCGATTTTACCAACCATCCGAATACATTTTCATTTAATCATTATATTTGATGAGTGAAAAAAAGATTTTAATTTGATAATTACATGGGGACGAAATGGTCAAACAAAATTGTAACACCCCCGTCATTGATTTTGTTCAATAAAATTGTATTTTATTGCATGATGGTATAGTTATTGTCCAGGATAAATCACAAAAAATCTTACGATTAGTACCCACGTTGGGAATGTTAGATTTCTCATGAAATTAAATCAAAATATAAATCTTTTGAGTCGGTAGCACAATAATATTCAACTTTACCATTTTGTTTAGGAATGATACCAAGAGTGAAAGCAGAGGCGCTATTAGCAAACAAAAATCAGGGAGATTTCTTGATCCGAATAAGTGAAAAAATCTGGGGTTATGCTCTAAGTTATAAGTAAGTTATTCCTTGCAAGATGTTACAAATGTACTGCTTATTACTAGGAGTTTTGATGTCTTTTGTTTTAAACTTAAATGGAGATAATTAACAATACTTGAATATTATTTTGAATGTTACCCGCCACCGTCTACTAACGGTAGAATTTATATCGAGAAGAATGTAATCAATTTTCAAGAATGGTCCTCTAGCACCAACTAGCGGCCACCATATTTTTCACTAATACTTCGCTTATTTTAATCTATAGAGATGAATGCAAAGTGAAACACTTTCTCATCGATGCTTCTGAACCGAATTGTTATCATTTCTTTGGTAACGATCAAATTCGACATCCTGGATTGGAACAACTAATAGCATTTCACCAGGTAAACAAGAAAGTAATATTCATATATATATATATATTAAAGGGCCTTATCAGAACACCGAGATTGCTCAAAAATCGACGGACAAGCCAGGCGTAATAAAGTGCTTCTATATAATATAAGAAGATTTTCCGTGGATTAAATAAAACAGCAAACTTTTAGGTTAAATCTCGGGCTCCATATGGCAGATGAAATTTGAAAAAAAAAAAATGATTTGCCTACCAGTGGTTTTAGCCGTCGCAGAAATCGAATAAACATATTTTGGTGCTACTTTGGTATGCAATCTCAACGGTTGCGTGATCACAGTGATTTTAGCTGGAGTTAGGAACTGAATTCTATGAGAATGTCTTCATGAGATTTATCGCATACCAAAGTGGAACCACGTATGCGATTGAAATCACGTTAGGCAAGTGAGATTGCATACCCAAGGGGCACCGATATTTTAACCGAACTACCCCAAAATTGGAAATAGGTTTAAACGAATCCAAATTTATTTATAAATGACTTCTCGATATAGTTAATTTTAAATGCATGAAGATAATATTTTATACCTGTTTGTCTGCCAGACTGTCTGGTTAAACACAAATGATAAAAACATTCTATATTTCATATCATTCTTCAATAACACCCTTGTGATAAACATCATCATTCATTTTTAGGACGAACCTATTTCATACGGAGGAGAAATATTAAAGAACGAAATCGGTCAAGCCGACCCATCACATCCAGATTATATCGATTTAATACGAGGACCATCACCAGATGTTCACGTGAACAAAGCTACCAACGACACCGCTCTCTAGCAATTCCGTGGTCACATCTTGGTAAAAATAAATTCAAATCATAGACAGCGAACTTTATTGTGGCGACTATACGCAGAGCTGCATTAAGACTGAAACTGATAGAACCTCTCAGGCCGTGACAACTATTCAAAGAGACTTTCTGGGCAGTGGTTCTCAAATTTAGGAATGAAAAAAGTAAAAACCTGCTAGCGAAAAATACATTCTTTAGCCATTGAAAATTTTAAGGCAATTGGTCCAGTAGTTAAAGAAAAAGGCGATTTTTTCATAAAAACAGGAAGAAAAATACAAACAAGAAAAACAACAACAATATAATAACAAAACGATTCAAACGTCCACTTCGCGTACAATAATAAAAGCATTACGGTCAAAGAATTAAGCAGAATACAATCAATTTACTTTAAATCAATGTAGTCATTACAAATGGTACCTGGCGAAGACTTTTGCTTGATCGGTGCGAGCCTAGAATGTTCCCTAGCTATTTTAGGAGGGGGGGTAGGGAAATCACTGGGCCCGGCCTATGCACGATATACTAAATCAACATGTACACTACCTGAAAGCCATAATTCTTTGTTGCCACATTTGGGAGTTATGATAACCATTGCACGCTGAATGTTTAACACACTTTATAAAATGATATAAAAACAAAAATATTATAATATGTTTTGAAACTATTTTTCATTGAAACAACATGCAAGCATCTTTAGCCTGAATCGACTGGTACTTGGAAAAGATAATTTCATTCACTCAAGCAACAAAACTTTTATTGTTTAATCAAAATTGTTTTATTCGATCATTTTGCAATAGCTTCACACTTTGCAGTATTTTTTAATTTTCTAGCAAGAGTGTTCGTTACCTTTATTATTATTTTAGTGGCTCCCGTAGTATGTAAACCAAGATGGCGGACACCAGAACGTAATATGTGTACCAGGTTAGGGTGAGGCCATAATTTTATTCCAATTTTCCTTATTTTAGTTCTATTACGAGTTCGGGAACTAGCCAAGTGACTCCCGTAGTATTTGTAACTGAAATTATGGCCTAACCCTACCTTGGTACACATACTACGTTCCGGTGTTCGCCATCTTGGTTCACATACTACCTGAGTACTTTATTTTGAATATTGATTCATCATATATGTTTTATTGAAATCGTTCCTTACATTTTATATAATCATTTAATTGAAGTTATGATATTTTAGCTCTTTTCCACACAATCAAATATTACATATTCTGTTGTTTCTGTAAATTGGCGCGATGAAAAGCCAACCCCCCCCCCCCCCCCCCTCAACTAATGACTAATGGTCCTCTTGGCTTTAGGCTTTTAGCCCTTATTTGCCCCCTTGTTTGTCATTCCAGTGATATTCATAATATTATTTTGATTGGCAGATTCCAAATCCCATTATGTTCAATTCATGCTCAACAAAGTGAAAACATCCTGTAAAATAACCTTATTGATAAATGAACGGGAAGTTTTCTTGCCATGTGAAAAGTAAAATCAGTTTGGCGCCTTTGGGGATTCCCCCTTCCAAACCAACTGCTCTGTGTTTCCTTGGAGAGCCCCAGGTTGATCACAGTTAATGTGAGAAATCGTCCCCATACATGTCGAAACGGAAAGGGTCATGTTCTACTGATGTATTTGATATATTCATACGTGGCCGCTTGCACGGATTCTCGTTCTGGTCGAAAATGTGAACTCATAAAATTAAGCATTAAAAACGCAAACCAGACTGCAATACTGTAAAGTGGCAAAATGATTCTTCAAGTTAATGGTTTAATCATTGATAATATTTACAGGCAATTGTACCTCCACCGAAAAAAGTGAATCGGCTATCTGCAATCAAGTAATCCTTATTGATTAATTTCAATTTCCTTAATCTTTCATGATTTGATTATTTTTAAGGTTATTTGGTTTTGTTCAGTCAGTATGTCAGTGTTGCACTTTTTTAATTTGAAATGTGCATGTGTGTCAATTAAATGTTGTTTACTTGATATAATATAACTTCAATAATTTCACCAGTCATTTTATGCAAGTTTATTTTAAGCAGGATTTAGCGCTTTCGAGTAAAGTAGAGAGAGAGAGAGAGAAAGTTACACAAAAATCACTGATCGGCCTAAGAGACATGCAATGGTCTATCAGGGCGACACAAGCAACACTATAAAGAATGCTTATTTGTGCCTTACGCTCCAAACAAGGCCATTTACCAGGGAGGAGGGGTTTGCGAGTCTCCATTTTTGAAATGTAAAAAAGCATTTTTCTGTATATCATAAATAATAGTTCTCCGTAGCTTGAAACGCGTTTTAATCCTACAAGACTCCTGAAAACCCACATTTTCCGGCATCCGATTGTACCCACTGGCTGGCACGGTCTAAGTGGCGATCTAAGTTGCTAAATGCCAGACCCCCTAGCCCAGGCTGGTCCAAGGTTTTGTGCTCCGCGGGCCACGAAATTATTTTGGCATTGTTCGCGGGCCACAATAGTACCAAGAATAGGTGAACAGTGCAATACAAAACAAGCACTTCTATTGTGTAAACACATAGTTTTCAGGCATTGCCCCCTATAGGCTAACGGAATCCGCATCCGATGTTTAGTTTTCTATCATGCCTATATTGTTAGCATATATCCCCAACCAAAACGATAGAAATCCAGGTAACAATTTAGACTGCCCATCACATCTTCAACTCCGCTGGTTGCTTCAGCTAGCCATCATACTAGTCAATTCAGTCACAGTAAAGATATAACAACAATATGTCAAACGATTTTTCTGATTTATTTTATGAGCAATTCAAAATACGATATTTTGATTGCGCTCCGAATGCGGCGCGGACACAGATAATGGAGCGGCGGGCCACTTGCGGCCCGCGGGCCTGGGTTTGGACCACCCTGCCCAACGCCTTTGAAAAATCCTGGCTACGTCCTTGCCATGTACAAGAAACCACACATATCTAAGAATATGTAAAAAGCCATAATTTTTTAAAGAACCCGTTGACAACAATTGTGAAAACTCTCAGTGTTAAAATAAGAAGTTTATTTAATCTATTTTTATTAATAAACAATTTTCATGTTAGTATATATTCTTGAGATTATCACTTATCTTACTAAAATCGTAATTCTGATTGTCAGTTCGGAAGTTTCGAAACTAAAATCGTCCTCAGAATAATTGCATTAGATTATGTGAATAACAGGAACATTGTTATGTGTCATAAATATGAAAATACTTATTGAATAAGCGACACAAACTTATACGGAATCTTGTAAAAAAATCAATTATCACGCTGTGACATCGACGTTAGGAAATGTAAACATTCACACTAGTTTGTCTTGTTTTATTTAAACTACGGTAAGTTGAACTTGGCATCTTTGCGATCATTACCATAATGGCGAATAATTACGTTATTCTGATGGTATAAAAATTTATAAAAGATGAAGTCAATTATGTTTATTTTGTGAATGTGTGCGGTAACGGCGATTCCCCTACACCCAGCCCCCCTTTGGGAATCACACGTTCAACATCCGGTCTGATACTCCGAAAGATCAGGTCAAACCCGAGATATAGATTTTCCCAAAACATTCTTATTTTCAAGGATATCATTGAAGGGACTCCCGTGGTATGTGTACCAGGATAGGGTTAGGACATAATTTTATTCCGATTTCCTTATTTTAGTTTAGTTTAGGACTGTTTTTCATGCGCAGATAGGTCTGTCTCCTTTTTTGTACAGTTTAAATAATATATAATGTAATAATGAAAAACTAAAGAATATTATCAATCCTACAGCAAACACAAATCAAAATTCTTTCCCAAAACGGCAAACCTCCTCCCGGGAAGGGATTTCTATCCGGTTTGGGTAACGTTGGTCTATCGCAGTGGTTCTCATACGGTGGGACGCGCCACACAAGAAGGGGAGGGGGGGCGTCGGCAATTTTTTGGGGGTACGTGAAGCTAATTCAAAATAAAAATATTTGTTAGATTTGATCTTGCCTGTTTTACTTTGTATATTTAGATTTCTTTATGTTGGATATTTACGTTCCATTCACGTATTTTCAACATGTTTTTTGCATAAATCATACTTTCGTATTACTATCTGTTATTTGTAGCCTATTGTTAGCTAGTTACTTTTTGAGGTGGGGCACAAGACTTCACAAATTCTAAAAATGGGCAGCGGCCTAAAAAGTTTCAGAACCACTCTGTCGTATAAAAGAAACAAGAAAGAAAATGACCAGATAATGCCGTTATGATTGTTAATCTGTTTCCGAATTATTACGTCAGCCCTTGTTGTTACTGACTATTTGTCATATATTTTAACATAGAAAATTTTTCCGTGAAAGAAGATAATTTTGCTACGCTTGTTATTTGTCATATCCGCGCATTAGATCAATTTGCATGGTAACTATTACACAGAATGACAACAGTGAATGTTGTGCAATGTTTAGAATATTGAATTTCAAACTGGTTTTAGTTACATCAGCTCAAAAATGCTAGCGAAAAACATTTATTAGAATGTGTTAAACTGCCTTCAATATCGTTTAAAACGTAATTCTAGTATAACACGCACGGACGTTTTGCTTGAACACATTTGCAAATTTGTGTGTGGGGTATTTGGAAATGAAATTGCAGTTCACATAAATCCACTTTTTAAAACATTAAATTTATCGTTTACAATAAAACATACAATTTATACAATTGAGTACAACGGTTTTTAAAAATTTATTCAAACTGAGTAAATCGAGTGATTCAGTTGAATGTATATTAAATTCAAATTTTAAAAGGGTTTTGATTTCCGTAATTAGGTTTCAGGTAATTAGATTAGGTTTCAAAACACTTGCACTGCGTGAACCGCACTAAAAATTTATTCACCGGATTTAGAATTAATATAATAAATAGATTCCGAACACCACTTGCTTTGTTTGTATGAGTGGAAATTCTATTTTCAACCAAAACCTGCCAGTAACAATTTGACATTCTAGTAATGTATACCATAATTTACAATTCTTAATGTTAGAATTCCATGAACCGCACTAAAAATTTATTCACCGGATTTAGGATTATTATAATAAATAGATTCCGAACACCACTTGCTTTGTTTGTATGAGTGGGAATTCTATTTTCAACCAAAGCCTGCCAGTCCCATTGTGACATTCTTGTTCTTTATACCATAATTTACAATTCCCAAAGTTAAAGTTCTGTAGACCGCACTTAACATTTATTCATCGGATTTCGAATTTTCAATAATGAGACTCCGAACACCACTTACTTATTTGTATGATCATCTAACATAACTCGTTTTTATACAAAAACACTTGAGAGCTTGTAAAGTGTTATCACGGATAATTACAAACAGATAAACGTGACTGATGGTTCGTCACGATCGTGACAACAAAACGTTTTGAGAATTTTCTGAAATCTTGCACAAAAGAATTCTTTCTTTTAAGCTCGTGTAAGTATTGAACTACATTTAATAACACATTGAGTTCAATTTTGCATAGACGTCAAGTCAAGTCAATATTGTTAGGGAATCTGATCATCTACAAAGTGGAAAGTTTCCCGTTACCCAACTATTTTAATCAAGAGTTAACGCTACATTGCGTTTTTTTTTCGATTATTTAACATGCGTAACGCCCATAGGTTTACACTGATTGTTTAAATATGCATGCAA